ACAAAATGGCTACTACCCGAAATAAGAGTAACAGCAACAAGATCTAATGACGTAAAACTCTTTTACAAGCTGTATATTAGAGCTATAAGTCTAGAGAAGGTGCGAAAGAAAGCAATAGAGCATATGAGAGGTGGAGAAAAAGGTTCTTCGCTCTGTTGGAGGGTGAAATTTCGAGTCTATTTCGCAGAAAGAAGAGTTGCGGTAGGTTTGCCGAGTAGAGACAATTACAAACCGAGGAAAACCCAAGAAATGAAGTTCAATATCGGAACGTGAAAGCCGAACAACCTTCCAAAAATTAGAAGTTTCAAAAAGAACAACCTGAAAATCGAAGACTTACCTTGAAAGTGCGATCCCGACTGATTTCCAAAATTGCTCCACCTGTATGGATCACCTGGCGAACACCATTTGATACCTGGAAGAAATGAATAAGACTACTGAACGGCCACCCTAACGACTAACCTGAAGGACCACACCTGAAACCGTGAACACACGTTTAAGGTGTGTGGATCAAGTACGGATATCATGCCCAGATGAGTGCCGCATATGAGATGATTATTTCGAAAACAAACTGAGCGTACATAATCCATCGACCACTGAAACTTGCATGGTATTTGAGTCACTAATGCCGAAACACATAAAAGTTGTTACTTATGGAAAAAGTGGAAGACCACGAACCAATCCAGACACAGGTTTGCTCGAATTTCGAATATCCACCATAACTATCCGGCGATCTTCACCACACGAATATACAATATTATCCTTGAAAAGGTAGCATTTTGACTGATCGTAAGTTCTAAAGGTTCGAGAGAATGCAAACCTGCATAGCCAATGTGAGCACAGCTCCTTTGTGGTGGGCGTAGTTCAAAACTGGAGCGAGACCGTTTTTTGTATCAATTATGAACACCTGCAAAGTGGTAATCCTTACGGAAATTATATGCAGAAAAATTTGAATATGTTGCTTGTCCTAAATTATCCCAAGGAAAAGGAAAACTAGATCAAATTTCCTTATGGGATCTGTGAGTGTGCGTTCAAAAATGAAGAACTGCATGGAAACTACATAGAAAACTCTCCTTCTGTGTTCTAGACCACAACACCCGTTTGATCGAATATTTCACTTTCTACTTCATTCAGCACATTACTATTTGCAACTTATTCGTACCTTCTTGCAACAATATTCGTACCTTCTTGCCAAAAGTTGAACATGCTGCGAGACCATTTGGGGAGTTACCAAGGCACATACCAGCAGATCCAAGCTTTGTACTTTCGATGGGCTGAAACGAAAATGGAATACATCCCACTTTTCTTATCCTCCTACTATAAAGCGCTGTCTGTCCAAGTTTCGTGTGTCGATGTGTCGTTCTTGTATGTCTGTCCGAAATCCCGTAAGTCCCGAGAGATCGCTGGAGAGACCGGGTCAAGTGTGGGATGGGTGCGCAGGTCTCACGAAGTAAAACACACATCAGCTAAGCGGAGCCCCGCCCACAGAGGGCGTGGCGTGCGTCGAAATGAATTGTACCAAAGACCAAGATTTCGATTTCAGTGACAAAACGACCTCGAAACTGGGCCAAAAAGTGGGTAAGGTGTGCATTGGTAAGTCACATCGAATTAGGGAGACCCACCCCCGGTGGGCGGGGCGTTCTCCAAAAAAGCAGTGCTTTATGAAAAATTCATAACTCGGTTGGGAGAAAGCCTACAGAGCAGAAAACAATTGGTGTAAGGGAGCAATGTCTAAGGTGTTTCCCGCATACATGACGTGGGCGGAGGCCTGCCCAGAATGGGCGGGGAGTGCTCCTGTCTGAGTGTACAGCGTTTTTCTACAAGTTCTAATTCGGGTCGGAGAAGTCCCGGAGCTGGAAAAAGGTGGATGGAGGTGGGTGGAGGAGTGGAGGCCAGCTGTCATCGGTGGGGGGCTTGACCAAAGTGGGCGGAGTTTGCGACGAAAATTCATAACTCGGCTCCAAGAAGTCCCGGAGGCCGGGAAAAAGGTGGATGGAGGTGGGTGGAGGAGTGGAGGCCAGCTGTCATCGGTGGGCGGGGCTTGACCAAAGTGGGCGGAGTTTGCGACGAAAATTCATAACTCGGCTCCAAGAAGTCCCGGAGGCCGGGAAAAAGGTGGATGAGCGTGGGTGGGGGAGTGCAGCCATGTTACCTGTTGGTGTGGTGGGGCTCATAATCGGCGCGAGAGTCCGGCCGGGAAAAAGGTGGATGGGGGTGGGTGGAGTAATGGGGGCCAGCTGTCATCGGTGGGCGGGGCTCGACCAAAGGTGGGCGGAGTTTGCGACGAAAATTCATAACTCGGCTCCAAGAGGTCCCGGAAGGCTGGGATAAAGGGGGGTAGCTGTCTGCAAAAGGAAGGGGGCCAAATGCTACCGGTGGGCGGGGCACGTCGAAGTGGGCGGAGTTTGCAATGGAAATTATAACTCGGTTCCAGAAGTCCGGAGGCCGGGGAAAAGGTGGATGGAGGTGGGTGGAGGAGTGGAGGCCAGCTGTCATCGGTGGGCGGGGCTCGACCAAAGTGGGCGGAGTTTGCAATGAAAATTCATAACTCGGTTCCAAGAAGTCCCGGAGACCGGGAAAAAGGTGGATAGAGGTGGGCGAAGGAGTGCAGCCCAATACTGTTGGGTGGGCGGGGCTCGACCAAAGTGGGCGGAGTTTGCGACGAAAATTCATAACTCGGCTCCAAGAAGCCCCGGAGGCCGGGAAAAAGGTGGATGGAGGTGGGTGGAGGAGTGGAGGCCAGCTGTCATCGGTGGGCGGGGCTTGACCAAAGTGGGCGGAGTTTGCGACGAAAATTCATAACTCGGCTCCAAGAAGTCCCGGAGGCTGGGAAAAAGGTAGAGGTCTGCGAAAGGAAGGGGGCCAAATGCTACCGGTGGGCGGGGCACGCACCGAAGTAGGCGGAGTTTGCCACGAGATTTATTGTCCGGAAGCAGTCCGGAGACCGGGAAAAAGGATAATGGTTGACGAAGAAAAAGAGGTTGAAAGCCGTCGATGATGGAGCGGATAGAATTTAGCTGAGAATTCAGATATTCGTGGTGTATCAAGCCAAATTTGAAAATTTTCGTCGCACCATCAAAATTCGCCGCAGATCTGTGTTGCGCGCGCAATGCGTGCGGCGCCAACTGGTATATATATATTCATTTCGCTATGTCAGCAAGCACAGCAGTCTCTGTGCGCTTGTTGCACGCACGATCAAGTGCGACCACAAAAAATGAAATTTCGCCACGGTAGCCGACAATACACAAAAAGGATCTGCAGTCGTTCTTACTAACCAAATCGCAGCTAAAGACTGAGCATTCAGTTCAATCCTAATTCAAACCTGTCAGGGCATATTTGAATACGGAAACAATCACATGCGAAAGTATGGGATCAAGCAACGTGAGTTCCCTAATAATTTCTATTCGATGAGGTCTCCAGCTATATAAAACCCAGACATCGAGCGCAATGGGGAGGAGGAACAGGATAATGAAGACTTCGCCCTGAAACTTCTTCCCCTGAACGAGTGCAATTTGCTCTGCTCACCCGCCGTCACCAATTCAGCGTCCTAAAACCCAAACACATCTCAACCACCCCAAAGATTGCAACAGCTCGATGACCTTCGTTCAAGTTTCACGAGAGACAAAGCAAGCTTTTTTGCCTCTAACTGCATCCCTTCGATATAGCCATTTCAAAGGACTATCGTTCTACGATGATAACGAACTTACAGTAATATGTGTGGGTGTGATCTGCCAAAGTTTCACAGTACAATCCCAGCTGCATGAAAGGAACTCGTCCGGTTTACTGGCTGATTGATCAAGGCACCATATCCACCCCTGAAAAATTCATTATTGAGTTAATATACAACTCGATAACAGACACAGAACAGGTAGTAAAAAAGAAGGGCATATGAACCTCGTGCGCATTTTGAAGGTCAAAACAAGGCTTAGCCGCAGTTGATGCTTGATGAGGATCCTAAATAAGCAGTTTCATCATAAATAAAATACTGGGTATTTAGCGTTGTCTTCAACTCCTGCTCCTAATTTTGTACTATCGAATTTGATTGTTTTCAGACACAGAAGAAATTTAAAGTGTAAATGAATAAATAAACATTGAACCGACAAAAACTGGAAACTTAAAGATTAAATCTTCTCACAACTGTGAAGAAAACTTTCCAAAGAGCCTCATGGTACCTCCAAATCGGTGATATTCCAAAGCTTGATAGCCCTGTCGCGTCCACCGGAAAGACAAAATCTGTTACCAGAACTGCGGTGAGGGAATAACCGCAAAGCATCTACTGTAGCAATATGACCAGTGGCAGTGAAGCTGCAATTGGAATCAATTAGAAATGGGAAAGATGTTAACAACCTGCCGGAAATGATTTCCGCCATAGGATTGTTTGTATGTTTTACTTACTTTCTGCTAGGAGACCATCTTCCCCAACGAAGGACTTCCTCCTCTATTGCTACAAAACTTCGAGCAGCGTCGAATTCTTCCTCTTTTGTCTCACAATCCGACAGACGGATCTGATGAGATGAGAGTTTCTAAATTGAAACATGGACTTCAAAGGCCAACAGGAGATAATGGTGACATAAACTCATATAAATAAAGGTATAGATAAGTTAACATTGAGCAGCCTCTCTTGGGATGCGCCGCGCCTCAATTCTGAGTCATTCTTTGCGTAATGCAATTGAATGTTTACTGGTGTAGCAACGAAGTGGCCGGTTAATGACCGAATGGCCCCGTCATTCACACCGCACACAATTATCTGGGATCGGCCACCGGATTGCGAAAAAGTGAGGCCTGGTCTTGGCGAATCAATCGGAGTGTCTCCCTGCAGGCAGCGCGACGCCATATCTTCCTACTTCACCTTCCCCAATCCTCGCCCTGCTTTAGGTAATTAGTGAAGAGCTTATCAAAAGTGACAGGTAACCATTAAACTGCCCATAACAGAGAGATCGTGAACTAATTTTGACTTCTTTCGATAACAGAATGACTTATAGGTGATCTGTTTTCGCCGCATATATCATAACGAAAGTTAGAGTGCCCATTCAGCACAATTAACCTTGTGAATGCCGATGTTCTGGACTTATTGCGAACATATCGGCTATCTTAAATTGAAATCTGCAGCGAACCTTGTGAGCTAAAGTACCTAATTTATTGTTATGGTCAGGTCCAGTTTTAACCAAATGCAGGGGCAATAGTATCAGTGGACCTCCTCGCTCGAGGGACACGAAGTCCTCCATTCCTTTCGTTCAGAGCTTTCGTGAAGAAGTCTGACCATCGGGCCGGCGGTCGTCCAGGTGTTCGTTTGACGTCCCGAGGGATCCAGTCGGTAACCGCTCTGGTCCAACGGTCATCGCAAAATCGCATGACGTGTCCGGCCCACCTTATCTTCGATTCCTTGGCGAAAACGGCAGCGTCCCTGATCTTCGATCGTTGGCGTAGTTCGGCACTCCGGATTCCCCTCTGCACTTGCGTGTATAGGGTTACTCCTAGCATCGTCCTCTCGACAGCGCGTTGGATAACGCTGACCGCATGCTCGTCCTGCCTGCGCAGAGTCCAAGTCTCTGGGACGTAGGATTTTTTGGGGCAATGGTACTAGTAAAATATCACGCTTACGTGCATAAAGGACAGAGAAAATGATCAAATGTCAGCGAATTCGGTGATACAACTAGTACGTTGTTTAAAAGTCCACGTGCGCCTGCAAATTCTTAAAAATGCATGATGCACTTTTTGAAAACGTGTGCAGGCTACCGCGGACTGGAAATAGATAACAAGAAATTGAAACTAACATGTATCCGGGTGAGCCACCATTGTTGATTGGTCAGTAGGCAATGAAATTTCCTACAGACCAGCCGTACATGGCGAACCAAGTGTCTGCCTCGTACGTAACCAAAAATCAACAGAAGCAGCTCGGATGGGAGTTGCAAAAGCATTCCTTGCTCGCCATCCTCTTCTGTTTTCATTAACTGTAATTCAAATTAGGAGTGGGAAGAAAACGAGACACAGATCGAACAGAAATATCAAGAGAGGGAGAACACGATGATAGGGAAAAGTAAAATGTGGATGAAATGGTCTATTCAACGAACACATATTCAATGCATACTTAATGCGGAAAATGGGTCTTCTCCAGTGTGCCCATGCATTCCTTCCCCATGACAGTCTCAGTGTTTTCGTGAGCTCATTTCTAATTTCAAATGACGAATTCACGAACCAACAAAATCAATCGGAAACCTGTTCCTGCTTCAATGTTTCCTGGGAAAGAGGGAGCCTCTTTTTGAGGCTTTTACGCATTTGACATGAAAATGAAAATTTAGATTCTCTACGAAACCAGCTAGCCATACTAATGTTCGTAACAAACGCATCTAAGCTTTTCTTAGGAAGTTGCGATGATCGGAAAAAGCGCAAACCGGTCGCGCTACTTGACGCGCAGGCAAGTGAACAACTCTACAAGGAGCAAATGGAGTTCCTGAAGAAAGGGTGGAGAAAGCAATATGGTCATCAGCCACAGCAGGACAAAACTAGGGACGGCAGGCTGAAACGTACCAACCACATGTGCTTCCTCACATGGGGAAACTTCTGCATCAAAAGAAATCCTTTTTCGTCAGTACGAGAGGGAAGAGGGCACGGCAATCGCAGACTTAGAGGCACATGGAATAATATAGGTATATAGTTCTGCGAAAGCTGTTCATGGTGTTTTCAGGAGCATTCACACTCATCCATGGAAACGCTCGATCAGCTTATCATTCTTGCTCCAGGCTGGCGTCCTCCAGTCGCCAAGACCAGGTAGGTATGCAGTCAGCTGCAAACCCGCCTTCACAAACAAAAGTATAAACCGATTTCAATTATTCAACAATGGACGCTTGAACTGTATGTACTGCATTCGGACTAATTCAACGGAATGAAGACAGGGAGTCGCCATGCATCACGGGCCTCCAGGGCAAGGAAGACATTACGAGGTAGAAACATGAGGCTCGACCGCTACTCCCACGAGGTTCAAGCGACTTAGGGCGCATTCATAATCGTCGTCCCCGCTGTCACGATCACATAAGCCGCGATCGCATAGGAGACGCGGCGCAGTGCCCAATGCATAGCCAAGCAACGCTGCGACGCGTCACGGTAAATCGAGAGTCCGATTGTTCAAGAGTCGAGTGGTACAGTGGTATCGAACGTTCACACATACGATCGTGTACACGACTGCGCATGAGTCGGACGTCAAACGATCGATACGTATCTAAAATGCTACGCGATGTTTCCGATGGGACAACCGACTATGAATCCGCCCCTAGCGCTTAGGTATGGTAGAGTATGGCAGAGAGCCTTTGGCAGCACATGTAGTTGCGAGATGACACCGTTTATGCCACCATCCATCCAGCTTCAGCACATAGCAACCTGGTCTCCATTCACGCGAATATTTGCGGCAATTGTTCCTGCTTGCATTATTATGCCTGTTCCCATGCCGTTGGCGAAACGACCACCTCAATCAATTTCTCTGGGTCATTCTCCAAAACTGAACACTCGCTCTATACTTACTCCTTGCCTAGCTGTACAACACCAACGATTGTTTTCCATGTTATTTCTCCGCCTGTAGGACCTTCATTTTGGTCACGATATCTGTGTGTATACGCCTTTGCAGAGCCCTAGACACTGAGCTATTGATAATGGCAGCGATTACAAAGGTGCTAGACGGGTTTGTAGGGGACGTGGAAGTGCTCAATGGTACACCAATAGCGCAAAAAGCAAAGAAATAAGTCAAAACGCAAAAAAGGGACGTCCTTATTGGACCGATGACCATCGCCGGGACGGGAAGAGCAGCGGCTGGAGGGTGAACGTTTGGACGAGTTTACCTTAGTTCTTGGCTTCTGCTCATCATTATGCTTACCACTAGAGCGCCGCATATACTTCGCTGCGCTTCCTCTTTATCGTAGTCGCTTGGTTTAAGGAGAGCAGTTTCATAGGGCGCTTTTTACACGGTGGGGGAGGAGGGGAAGGAACCGAAATGAAAAGCCTCCAAACAGAAAAAGTAACACGCACATAGCTCCTTTTTGCACAAGCAAATTGGTTCTCCCTTAACTAGAGCCTCCAATCAGAGTCAACCGTGCGTTGCGCAGTTTCGCCCGATTAGACACGTTCTCTCGCGCGAACATTCACACTCGCATGCTCGAGCCGTCTGTGTCTCCGCCCATACAGCGTGCGTTGAGGATCTCTCAACGTGCCGTTGCGAACTGCGCAACGCAGGGTTGACTCTGCCTCAAAAATAGGACTGTAACCAGGGCGAACTATTTTACCACATCCTCCCCTCCCTAGTACGATTTCGCCTTTGACCCTTTGACAGGACTAAAGCGAAACTTTTCAAAACTAAATCGTAGTGATTTTGGGGTAACTGCATTTCTACAACCGCAGGTGATGGAGATGGTACACCTATGCAATGTGACAGAAGGCCCATTGGTGAAATCGATGACTACTACACGGATCGTAAGTTTCCATGAGATTAGTGGCGAGTTACCAATACCCGACAAAAGAATAAAGGAAATAATGAAAACGACCGCGAATACAATTTCAAAGAAAAAAACAGAAAAGGGAAAAGTGAGACCACTTCGGATTGCGCTCAACCGATCAAAAAACTCAAAAACATCGAAATACCAGTATTTTTATAAGAATTCTACAAAAGCATCGTTAAAAGGCGATATAATATAGAGAACAACATCGAAAGTGAGATGCACTGATTAAACTGCGGGACAAAACGTCGTCCTTATAGGCAACAGACGCTAGATGATTCTAATTACACTAGAACAGCTCTACGCGTAATGATTAAGCTTGTGCGGATCAAGCGTGGTCACATCGAAATCAGGTGTCCATTGGATTCGAGAAGGTTGAACAACCCGTCGCCTCAACAATGACAACGGGAACTTGAACGCGAGTTTCTAGAATAGCGAATTCCAATAAAAGGAAGATGATTAAGACAAAATATTCCATACGAGTCAGGAAGAACTTTAACATACCCATGTCTTGATAAAATAATTGCCATCCTTCATAACCAACAGATTATTCCTCATCAACTCATTCACGAATGTCTGTTGGATGGATACGAGTATGGAGACTCATGGCTTTTATAGAAATGTTTGTGGAATCCTTGCGTGATCTAGATCAATGAAGTTGATCAAATGAAAACGCGATATTGCTATGAAAATAAAGGAGCAGGGAAGACGACAATCATATTTTTGCGTGTGTTACTGTTGTATAATCCATAACATCTAATTTCGAAGCAAATACTGATGCCGGCAACACCCCTACAGCTATGGGTAAGAGAAGCGTCAGTCCCAAAATCTATCCCATTAGCAATTCATACAACACATTCATAGTTCCCCATTCAAGAGAATGGAAAGTGTCCAACCGAAATCGAACCCAGGATTCAGTCTCGGGAGGGGGGAGATCAAAAGGATTTCTACATTTTTATACCACACAATGTCAAAATTCCCGAAAGAACTCGCCTGAGATAGCACAATATGCAGGATTTCCAATACTTCCTATACGCGAACAGCCCAAGGTCCGACAGTGGATGTTCAGGAGAACCGACCTTTCTCTCAATGCTCGAGAGCTGATAACCTGAAAAAACCTTTTTACCACGAACCCCAGAACAATCACTTAATAACATCACGATAATCATCAACCAAATGGATCACCACAAGCTGCCCGGGTAAAGTTGTTCAAAGAGAGCAGGTCCCAAACGAAACAAGCACATGTCAACCATTCCATCAAAAAAAAAACGGACGAGACACAAATAACTACTAGTAGTACGTCAATATGTCAGCTGTTTATCTGGCAGCACATAGAAAACGATATATGACCGTGCTGAAGATTAGATCACTGCATTAGAACAGTCCAAGAGAAAAAATTAAGTAGTGACCAGCAAGCTGACATTTTCCGCTTCAGGAAACTAGTTGACACCGGATCAACAACTTAACGCACAAACAAATACGTATTCATTAGCTCAGTTCAGTACGTATTCAAAAAATCACAGTAATCTTATGGTCGACAGTAGGTCAAAAATGAGCCTTTCTAAATTTCCAAAGGGTGATGTGGCGTATTTGAAGCTTTCTTCTTTACAAGAAGTTCACACTGATAATTTTGAAACGGGATTTGAATACAGCAGACATGTATTATATAATTATGCCTATAGCAAAACGTACTCATATCGATAAGCAGGTGCCCATATCCATTCCTCTGCTCATTTGGGATGGTCAGTAGGCACGACAAGTTGTTGTTTCTACTGGGATTCTTTTCCTGGAATGATGACAGGCTATTGAAAAGGTTCATCGTGATCATGAAAGCATAAGCTCACCTTCGAGAAGTATCCGACAATACGACATCCGTTTTCGTCATTTTTTGTCAATATGTAGAATAGAAACGTTGCCACTTCATTGTGGGATATTTTAGACGAAATGAAAAGCATCGCTAGGAGACACAAATAACGGCAATACGTCTAAACGAACACTACATTGTACAACGCAGGACCTGTGCATTTCGAAGTCAAACTAAGGCTGCTTAAAAATAACAAAAAGCAATTTCATATGTTAGGCCGCGGTTCTAAACTGAGACCATATCAAAGGCCTATGACGCGGCCCTATACATAGGAATGTGCTTCACCATAATCTTGCTTGATGTTATAAGTGGCTGCGCTTGATCGCAGCCACTTATATTAGTTAAGATACTGCCAACACATAGAACTTACGCGTTCTACGGCTCCATCGACCTCGAAAAATGAAAGGCTGGAATCGGATTCACGATAAATTTCGCGACCAGGAGGAGCTATTCGAGGGCAGCAATCCTACAATCACAAAATATTTAAAGGAATCTTCCGCGGAAAAAGCTCCGCCTCCATTACCACAGAAAAACGATACCTTAGGCCCCTAGCCTCATGAGCATAGCAAAAAGAACGGAACATAAGCGTTAGTTTCGATAATACTAATCCTACACACAAGACAAAATGATCACTCTTTCCGTGGAAGATTCCTTTAAGGTATCGTTTTCTGTGGTAATGAGGGCGGAGCTTTTTCCGTGGAAGATTCCTTTAAATATTTTGTGATTGTAGGATTGCTGCCCTCGAATAGCTCCTCCTGGTCGCGAAATTTATCGTGAATCCGATTCCAG